CAGGTAGGACTGAAACAGACTGGTAGAGCAATGAAGCTCCCAGAGCTGTAAATGCAGTCAAGTCTGAGATGTTTTTGCAAGTCCAGAATGGCAGAAGATTTTGAAATGTAAGTACACTAACACTGTTATACAAGGACTTAACAGATGCCAATTCCCTGAGTAAACAAATAAGCATAGCCTATCCCTTTTCCATTATAACTGCCTCATTTAAAGGGCAGTTTTGGCCAGAATGACACATACTGTGAGTCACATGATGGGGAAGAGGTTGTGACTCTGCTCTGTAAAGCAGGAATTTACCCTGCTTTGGCTCCCTGTCAGCACAGCTAGAGGACTGATACCTGCCATGGCACAATGTCCATGTGTGGCAAGATGGACCCAGTTTAGCCCCCTGCACCCTCAGGACCTGCACTCACCCAGCTAAGCACGTACAGCCAGTTAAAGACCACACCTGCAAACAGCCTCACTACTCACTCTGTATGGGCGGTTGACAACGTGCATGTAAGCCTTTATGCCTGCATATTTTCTTGCAGAGTCTGAAACTAGACTGATAAACACCTCTTCAAACTGATACTCAGCTTCATTCTCTGTTATCCAAACATTTCATCAAAGGCCACTTACCTACAAAGCAGACATCCAAACTCAAGCCAGACACACCACATACCAAAGCCTTTTGAAAACAAGGAACAAACCTACATTTATCCACTAATAGTGCAGGGGTGACAGCCATTATTTTATATATGCAATATTTTGCAAAATTCTAAAAGACTTAAATCTCGTTAGGTGATTACACCATTAATTAGCGAAACGCTATCATCCCTGAGGTGCCAACACAGCAGCTGTTTCAGCTGAACAGCAAAGAAAAGCCAAGAGGGCAAGGTAACATAGTAATAGTGCCCCCACGAGCAGCCCAACTGTTCTGAGCATCCTGGTGCTGCCACTCCATGATAGGGACCCACTCTGGTTCCAGCCAGGGACGACCACAGCTCTCCCCACCACCCCAACCACCCCCACCTTCCAGAGGGTAGTACCCCCTCTTCCACCTGGGTAACATGAATGGGGGCTCTATCAAAGGACACATCTGTTGCAGCCTGAGCCCTGTATTTCTCAGGATATGGGTTTTCCCAGGAAGCTGTTCATACATAGCTTATCAACCCAGAGGGATCTCTCTGGTCATTCATCCCTCTGACTCTCTGCAAAATCGAGATCATAGAGACTACCTCAGTGATCTCCCCTTCAAACTGCAGCATGAAAAAGAAAAGGAAAAAATAAAATCCCAGGAAGATACCCCGTGACACAGCAGCTGTCGCAGATTTTTGATCGGTTGCTCTGTGAACAGGGCTTCATTTATAGCTTAAGAAATTGTCTGGCTAAAACTGCCAGTTGCAGAGCCCCAGTTGCGAGCTGGGCAGAGCAGCCTCCCTTGGGCAGCTTCAGTTCCTCACACAGGCACCTCCAGACCACGGCTGCGTCACCAGGTACCCCCATGAAGGGTCAGTGATCAGGCCCAGGCTGATGCAGCTGGTGATAAGGGACAAGGCAAAGGACTATGGTGGCCGTGGGGAAGGCTGGGACCCCTGTCCCAAGCAAGGGACATTTGGACAGCCACCAGTCGGGTCCTACACGCACTGGCTAAGGATGCCACGTGAGAAACACTGCACCACAGTGAGTTTTGCACCACAGGTTGAAGATGGGTGGGCAGAAGGAGGACGATCCTCTTCACAGTACCACCCATTCAGATGACAACTCTGACCGCAGACTGCAGGTGTGATGTTCTTTGTCATGTCAGGGCAGGGCCCACGGTGTGACCCTGCTGGGACTCATTCCCTTCACCAGAGGCCTGGGGCTGCACTGGTGACATGATGGCTCTGCCCTCCCAGAGAGGATTCTCGGCAATGGGGGAGTTCCTGCAAGACCCACCTTAGGCTGTCATGTTCTGCTTTCCCCTGGGCCCCTCTACGGGCCCAGAAGCAAGAGTGAAAGATCTCCAGAGTATCAATTATGGCACCAGATCTAGCCTGGAGCTGGCTATATCCTCTGAGAGGGTTGGGAGCTAAATTCTGCTAGACTGAAGACATTTTGATATCATTTTTGGTACTTTCCATACCACTCTGCCACCTTAATGCCATCACCATTCTTCCAGAGAGCACTTGCTTAGAAATATCCCTGGTAGGACAGAAACATTGCTGAGTTTGGGACATCCAGTGAGGGCCCCTGAGCAGCACCATCAGTGCAACGCCAAGTTCTAATCCATCCCTTCCACAGGAAACTGGGCTATAGGATCTGGTTCATCTTCAGAGGATGTCACATGGCAGCAATGGCAAATCACTCATGTAAAGTCTGCAAGCAGCCATGGGGCTCTCTTAGTTTATGCAGATTCAGGTCACAAAAGAACACAGTTTGTTTAAAGATACTTTTGTCTCCCAAATCTGGGAGAAGAGGAAAGGCCTTATATTGCCCTGAGAATGAGCAGAGTCCCAAACACCTTTCAACCCTTGAAAGGATTTAGCCATCACATTCTCAAAAGTAGTGATACAGAAAAGAAAAAGCAAGTTGTTAATAAAATATGGGGACAACTTAGGAATTTGCTCCCAAAAGCCCATGATAAAAAACCTCCAGCTGAGATCCAAACTCTACATTATATTCCCCAGTGCTCTGCCTTATCTTTCCTTAAATGCATGAGGCACAGGGCTTCTGTCACTTCTTTGGCATGACTGCTTAGAGTCTGAGAGGTTTTACTACTCTGAGGAAGCTTTTCCTTCACATTCAGCTTAAATGTGCCATTTCCTGAAGTCATCCCCTTGTCTTTTATACTCTAGCAAGCAGAACAAGTGTAAATTAAATGGAAGACACATGAAATCTTTATAAAGCCCAGTGTTTCCCGTAGCATGAAACTTCCCTCTCTTTGGAGTGGAAGGGGTCTTCACTCTGTGCTGTATTTTTCCCTATCAGAAAATGAAGAATATAAATTTTCCTCATGACTTGAATTTAGCTTAATCAGCAGCCCCCTGCTGATGTAATTCAACCCAACAAGATTTTTCTTTTTGTTTTTTTTCCTGGTGAGCTGCTGCCCTTTTTCCCTCCTCCCACCAATTCAGGCATGGAAAACAAGGGAGGAATTAGACAGACAGAACTTATTATCTATCAAGCTGTAACTTCAGACCAGGCAGGAATAACATTTAAAATATAAAAAGCAAATTTTATCAAGCCTTTTCCTCCCCAGAGACTGACACAAAAATATTCCTTGTTTGTCGCTGAGAATGAACCATTTTTCTCTTTCATTTCTGCTTTCTGTCACATATTTCATTTTGGCTGCCCCTTCTGTCTTTCAGCTAGGGACCTAGGCTGCTAACGCAGAATCACAGATAACTCAACAACAAAATGCCTGTATTATCTTTTTTTTTTTTTTTTTTTTTTTTTTTTTGGGTATTATTTCTAGTCTGCCAGGTAATTGCAACCCTAAAAGCTTTTGCATATTTACCACAGAAACATGTCTCTCCTGGAGGATGGGACTGTCATCGGGTAGAATATTTCATTTAATAAGCCTCTTCTGAGGTATAAACTAGGGCTGGGGATTTTTTCCTGGCCTCCTTCAGAGCAAAGGACAAGCAGATAAAAATCAGCTGCTGCAGTGCTACACTGTCAAAGTTCCTGTTCCTGTGAAAATTAACTCTTTCTAAGCTCGGAGTTCAGGTAGGTTTTGCCACTCTGAAGTTTAAAAGTAGGAAAAGGGTCTGATATCAACTCATGTTGGCTTTTTGTCCCCAGTCCTACCCACATATAAGACAGATTTCTTTCCTATTTACAAACAGAGCAACTACCCTGCTTTTCTGTAACCCATCTGATGAGCTGTGGATGCTGCCAGGACTGATTTTCATTAAATCAGTCATCAAGAAGGATCGCGTTTTCCCTCTTCGCCCGTTTCACAGAAGTGCAACAACAAAAACATGGTCTGAACATTTCTAAATTCAGCTATTATCTAAAGATAAATTCCGTTCCCCCCCCCCCACTATTTTCCCCCACCCCTGCTGTAGCAGAATTGCTTTTCTCAGTCCTTGAGATGTTGACTCAAACTGATTGGTACCAAAGTGAGGGGCTGAGGAGAACATCTACAGAGAGACTTTGTGTCTTGGAGTCAAGACGGAGGGTGAGGATCACCTGCCAGGGGTTATGAAAAGAGGCTGCTTTGCTAAAACTGTTCAACAGAACGAAGAGGGATATAGCTGGTTCACAGGTTTCACTTCAGGCACACCTTCAAAGAGGTCACAACTCCATCCTGGCACATAGCAAAGCACTGTGAGCGGGAATCAACAGACCACACCCGGTCCTCAGTCCAACACCAAATCACTGACAAGACTCATTCAGCTCTACCAACAGCTTCCCACACGGCAAAAGGTTTTCCAGCCCAGCCAGGCTGCCTGCTTGCTGGGAGGAGAGCTGACAGGAGCCAGCCAGAATACTCCCATTGACTCTAGCAAGCTGCACAGCCTGTGTGAAAACTACTCCCTGAGAAAGCATCTTCTGCATCCACACAGTTTTCCTGTGGGTCAATCTCATTCTTGTAAAATCCCTATTTTCACATATGAGTAAAGACTGGAAGACATATTTGAAATATGGATTGACTGCTTAGGTTAAAGTAATACTGACACCAAGAACCTACATGCATTTACTTGGAATGGAAACATGGACTCTCCAGAGATGTCCCCTCATCTGGAAACACTCTTAAGAGAACAAAGTGCTGACAGAGGTGAAAGGTTTTCTAAATTGGAACTGGAAAACTCTATTTTTACAACACTTTATGACTATTTACAAACTTACTATGGTTTTCAACGCAAGTAAACTCCAAGAGGTTAGGACACCATTTTTTTCCTATCACCAGCAAGCCATTCTAAGACACATCTTTATTTAAGATTAAGGGATGACTTTCATTCCTTTGCCTGAATGTAGCAAAATTCCCATAAGTAAAATATGTCTAGTAATGTTACATGAGCCCAGTCTCTTACCTGTAATATCTGGATTGAAGGTAGGTAGAACACACAGCTTTAGACACATGGCTAGCTGAACCAAAGTCTATGACCTTGACCCTATATGGCTGTCGGGATGGGTCTACCAACATGATGTTCTCTGGTTTGAGATCAGCATGAATCAGTCCCAGGCTTTTCAGCTTCATTAGGGCAGTTGCTACCTGCTGGAGAATTGGTCGAATGTACTTAAGGGGCAAGGGACTGAATTTATTTTGTTTTAGGAAATCATAGAGGTTCTGTTCCAACATTTCAAAGACCAAGCATGTGTGATTCTTGTGCTGGAAGCACTCGTAAGCACGGACAAAGTTGTAGTCATCCGCACTTTCTGTGCTCAGCCGAGCCAGGATGCTCACTTCAATCTGGCCTTGCCGGGCATAGGAAGGGTGGTTTTTTAGGATCTTGATAGCCACAATCTCATTAGTGCCACGTTTCCAGCATTTGACTACTTGTCCAAAGGTTCCACGGCCAAGAAACTCCAACACTTCGTATGTGTTGGTCATGGAACAGAGCACCTCATGTTGCACCAGCTGGTAATCCCCTTCACTGTTGGAGCCACTGTTTTTGGAGGTGGCTGTGGAAGTGGTGGCGGTGGCTACAGTGGCCCCACTGGCATTGTTCTGAATCATTGGTGGATGCTCCTCGATAATCTGCACGCTGCTTGTGTTCTCAATCTCCTCACTCTTGCGCTTAAGTCCACATTTTTGGTAGGTGTCCAGAAGGCTCACAGTGCTGCGACGCATCAGGTTATGTGGCCCGCCCAGTGTTTGCCCAGACACTGCAACCACACCAGAAGTGCTGTTGGCAGATGTCACCACGATGTGCCCCGTGCTTGCTGGGAAGATGATGGTCTGTTCGTAGGGGATGCTCGGATTGGGGATCTGGAGGGAGGCGTTGACGGCTGCTGCGGCGGCTGCTTGGGAGGACTGCACGTTCTTGCTCTGGCTGTAGACTTTGCTGTGTGTGCCGTACCCAGTCATATCCCAGTTTGAACTCGGCTCCACTTTCAGTTTCTTCACGCTACAGAAGGCACTTGACTGAAGGGTATGAGGAGAGAAAACTTGCACATGCGAGGCCATACCTGCAATACAACATCAGAGTGAAACCACAGTGTCAGGATGCCTTTTTTCAGCCTTTTCCCCAGCTTTTTTCATTTGCTCGGTGGCAGGAAAGGGAAATGGGATACAGGTTTCAGACACAGCACACACAGACATGCAAAAATCACATTCTTTCAGAAATATGTATTCAACAGAAATAAAATACTATGCTGTAAATAAATCACTACCCTTGATTGAACTGTACTAACAACATTCAAGATTTCTGCTCTCTTGTTCTCCCCCTTCTCATTTTTAATAACAGGAATGTACATCTTATTTTTACCTCCTCTGTCTAAAGAGACTCCTATTCCCATTGTCTCCAGGAATATATCTAGCTCTCTGGAAGAACTCATGTCAAATACTGCAAAGTATTCTGACTACAGAAGCCAAATCTCAAATCCTCAGGCTCATCCTATATTAAGCACTTTGGTGGATCTGACTTAAGCCCTCCATTTATTTCCATAAAACCACTGTGTAGCTTCTGGCCTGCAGAGAATCAAGATGGGGCCAGGAGATGATACACTGTGACAAAATGGAGGTGCACGGATAAAGTTAAGGAGCCAGGGCAGAAGAAGAAGAGGCTGTTTCAGATTGCTTGCCAAGTCTGCGTGTAGGAATCGTGCACAACGCTGGTCTGTGCTCAGGGACAGTGGAGATAGGAGTTACACAAGATGAGCTTCATTGTGTGCTCTCAGTTCTCCCAGATTTAAAAAATTGTGTTCATCTATTCTTATTCACAGTGACAATATCATCACTGGAAAGCTGATCCCCTTCAAATTAACAGCATTGTTAATGAAGCAATGTACACATTAGCATGTGGCAGAATTAGCTCCTACTATAACTTTATTTTTAAAGAAAAGACCAAAACCTATTTTACTGCAAGCTTCTGTGGCTTCAGAAAGGTTAATGATCTTCTAAATCTTTATTTAAAAAAAACCAAACACCAAAGAACAACCCCACAAACCTCATAATTGAGGTGAAAATACAGTATCACTGAGACAGACTTACTGAAGGATTCTGAGTAATATTCCACTGTCACAGAAAATGTGCCTATTCAGAAAAAAAGATGTGGTCCGCACAAAAAGGGGACATCTAAGTCCTTACTTGCTGCCAGCTTTCCCTGTCTGGTAGGGATAGTACCACTGGGGCAAAGGTATTGTGAAGAACAAAAATCCATAGGGATTCCTAGGGAAGGAGTCAGTGCCCGACAGGAGTTAGAGCAGAAAGGCACAGCCTCCTTCACCCTTCTATCTGTCGTCAGTGTTTCTTTTTAATAAACCAGAATGACTAGGGAAGAAAGACAATGTGCTGAGCTGGCACCATTGCTGAATTATTAAGCACAAACATAACCTTGACTTGTTTTCAACTTTAAAAAGTTAAAAGCTGAATAAATGCTTCAATAACAAAACCACAACAAACTTCGAAATGCACATGGATGAATTCTTCATGCGGAGGACTGACAGTATCTGACATTCAGCTCCCCTCCAGATGATTTTCTGGAGCTCATATAGGCTCACACATATGCATGAACTTATACACTCACATAGAAAAATACGAAAGTTACTCCACACTCACAAAATTCTGTAGCATGGTGAAGCAAACAGACCTAAACACATCCAGTGCCCATTTTCTAGTTAATTCCCAGCTGCCCAAAGTCCAGGAACTACTCAGGAGAGGGGTGCTGTGGCAAGACAAAAACCAGCATACATATCTACTTGTTCCAGTTTGCTTCAACACCTCCACCTTCATCCCCGCCACAGAGATGCATTTATGAGGACAGGGCAGACGCAGAAGAAAACTCCCATCGGGACACAGGGGGAAACCAACCCTCACCCCTGCTTGAATACGTCAAACAAAACCCCGTTGACCCCGCTCTGACAACGAAGCCCTGCAAACCACAGTGTGCTCCCCTCTGCAGATGTGACCCCTGGCTCTAAGGGGATTTCTGACGCTGTTTGCTGTCATTCCTTTTAACTCCACTCTCAACCTCCTTGGCAGCAATTTCCAAGGTCTCTGCAACTGGGTACTCAGACCCCCTCCAGCTCCCTGCTCCTCTAAGTACTTGCTCTCCTCTCTCCTTTCCACAGGGCAGTGCTGCCACAAATGCTGTAGCATGTGGCATGTGGTGAGCTTGGAGAACCGCAGCAGTATTACTCAACTTGTCATCCTGGACACAAGGATCGTGTGTGAGTGAGCCAAAACTGTGTTTGTTCTTCCACTGATTAAGAAGAGTCACGGTGTTCCTTCCAGTACAGTACCAACCTGCCTGGAGAGAGTGGGGTTGGTTTGATGTATGTTTTCCCCCTGGACGCGAATAATGTAGCAGATGTAATTGGTAACATATTGTGGACCTAGCAGAGGTGTAATTTATAGCTTTATGGCTTTCATTCCATGGTGTGCTTGAGCAATCTCTCTTCGTACAAAATAAAAAGGGAAAAAATGAGTGACGCAGAACGAGACGAGACGTTCTTCTCACACGCTCCTCTAAAGACAACACGAAAAGACTGAGGCACCTCGAATTAAAGTCAAGGACGTGAACTGCAGCAGCTGCAACCTTCTCAGTGCCACTGTAAAAATCAGGATAATCGCCACCATTAAGGGACAGACTTTCAACTGGTGCAAACTGGCAGTACTCCAGTTGACATCAGCTGACGCTAAAAACAAGGCCAGCACTCAACATCGTCAATGTCAGATGGCTGCCTGTGCCCATTGGTGAAACGAGTTGTTGTTAGGGACTGGTTTCCACATCAACAACCAGCCCCTTGCTGTCTCTGAAACACTGCTGGCAGCCTCAGCAGGGGGACAGGAAAGGGATAAAATCACTGATCCCCACTGGTACCCCAAAAATGGAGGGTGTGGAGGAAGTAGTGCTTTCTTATGGATAAAGAGAGGACTTCAGACTCTTGCTGCCAGTTCCACCCTCCTCAGAGGTTATTTCCCATCACAGGAGAGGTATTTTTTTCCCCTAAAAAATAAACTATGAAATCTTCTTGCTTCCATTCAAAATGATTTTCTCACGTTTGAGGTTTTAGGGGAGGACAGCTCGGTGAGTTCTTCAGCATAGTCCGATACTAAGAAATAACAGGCTGATTGACAGCTCAGTGATGGGAAAAAAGGGCTTCTGCAGCGAAGTAATTTTTATTGCAAATTTATTGGTGCAGTTAATGCGAGAAAAACATAACCCTAAATTTCCTCAGGACACAATCAAACTGTGTTGGTGGCACATTCTTTTTTTCAAAAAGGATCTTTGCTCCATGGCAATAGCAGAAATAGTAATAAATGTGAATAAAAGTTGGATGGTTTGTTACAGGGATCAAATTCCTCATTACAGCTTGTAATATGATTTACAACTTCAGCCTTTTGATTACATAGGCTGACAACAGCTTGCCACTATGCCTGCAAGGAAATAAGCCGGCAGTAATGGGGTGATCCATGCCAGCCCAGCCCAACGACACTGATGCCTCAGAGACAGTGGGGATACCCCCAGTAAGCATCCTCACTCCTGGGGTATTAGAAAGACAAGAGGGGCCACAAGGCATGGAGGGACGGAAAATGGAATGTTTCACTTTGGAAAAGTTCTCTTAAACCACCACTCCCAGGTCTGATAAGAAACCTCCTATGCAAGGCTGGGCCTTTCATGTGACCTCCCTTCACCTACAGGAAGATCCTAGCAGTCACCTTTCCACTTTCTGCACAGAACAGCCCAAGGCTGGCACCCTGCTCCTCCCCTTTTTGCTCTCCACCAGGAGCGGAGAGGGTGAGGATACTCAGGTCGAGCAGCTTCTCTCACTGAGCACTCCCGCTCACCTGAAGCCCAGCTCAGCAGCCCCACCTACGCTAGCAAAAGCTTTGGCTGGACTAAAGCAAGTGGCAATACTGGCTGAGCTTGGTGCCTGCCTTTGCAGGGGTGCAGGGCAGCCCCCACAGCCTCAGTTAGCCAGCCAGGACTCCAGAAAGCTAAATGCTCATTCTGATGAGTGCAGGTCTAAGTTTTATATCACCCTGAGCACGGCGAGTTTCTGGGCTGGGAGCAGAATCAAGGTTGGGCACCGTACATTAAGTAAAATTGATAGTTCCTTTCTTTAATAATGACTTTTAGTGTAGCCATTTAAAGCTCTCACACAACTGACAGTAAATGGATTTAATGGGGCCTTCCCTGTCCTTGATACGACTCACGTTAACTCCCCATAGCATCGACATGAGTTGAAGTATGTAGTATGCAGCCAGGGGATAATGTTAAAACATCTGGAATGACTTTTATTAAAAGACTTGAGGGCTTTTTTTCCTGAGAACTCCTCCCACGTCAGCTTTCACTTAATAATAATTTAGCAGGTGCTATTTACAATTCAGATGGCCCTCTTCTGCATGCATACACAAATCACGCAGCCGCCTCACTTGTACTTCTAACAGGTTTCAGGAAAGCAAATGAGGTAAAGCTCCCTATCCACCCACCTCACCCCAAAGGGCAAAAAATACACTTTGGGGACTAGAGAAGGAACAGTTTGCAAGTCATGGATGTTTTCTTCTGCTTTACTTCTAGCACTTACTGTTGATTTATAAGTGTGGCCTTTGTGGTGGCAAGAGACCAAGCCCCTGCCCTGTATTAAGTAGGCAGTAAGACCTTTTGCAGTACCTGCAGAGCTCTGTAACCAGAGGCTGCTTGCTGATGGCCGCCAGAACGACAGTGCCGGCTTGAAAAATACTGTAGAAAGCACATGGCGTGTGTTCAGCATATAAATGATGCACACAAGACACTACTGAAATAAGTATCTTCCACTTCTCCCCAGAGAGGCACAAGCCAGAAAATCCACATACACACCCACGTTGAGAAGGCAATGAAAAGAGGATCTGCCAGGTATGGCTAATGTACTGCACCTTCAAAATAGCCATGTCTTCACAGTGGCCTTTGTGTAGCCCCTTTTGAGACACTGTCCCCCAGTACCACTTGGAACCTCCTTAAAATTTATATCCCAGGAGGCTATAC